CTTTGCCGCATGTCTCTCCCCCTCTCTCATACCTGTCAGCCTACGGTCAAAATAACGAGCTACTAGTGCCATAAAAACAAAAAAATGTATATATATATATTTGATTTAGATGTTTCTTATACTTTCTGTAAGCTTTATCCAGTGAAAAGTTGTATTTTTTTATGAAAAGTCCTCATTACAAATCTTTTTGAAAAATATTTACTCTCAAATATTTAAAAATGGAAAATCTAAATTTATTTTGAAATTTGAAAATGTTCTGTATGGTTTTGCAGAATTTAGCTATAAAGATTTGTCAGCTTTTTTCCTAATCAGTCTCATTCTTTTCCTTGCAGTTTCATATTCACAAAAGCAAAATAATGAAAAGGAAACAATTTGTGTTTTTATAAGTGTCGATACATTTTATCTCAGACTCAGATATTAAATTACTTATGTTGATCACCTTTTTGATTATATTCCAATTTATCTCAATCTAATTAGCAAAATTAAATAAAAGATTTACTTGAATAAAACAATTTTATTTAAGGTATAATGCAATATCCATTTTTTCCACTGGGTGGAAGCATTGTTCTTTCAGCTCTGCTCTTGTCTTGTCTTCACAAAACAACACAAGGGTCTGTTGTTCTCATTTTACAATTTATTAAGGATTAGAAACATGAAAACATAAAAACAGACTTTTTAGCAAAAGATTCATATAAAACAGTGATAACAGTAAAGCCTCTGAGTTATAACCTCAGCGGCTGCTGACGTTGGCACCATGCTATAGGAAATGTAACTGTTCATTTTGAGGTGGATTAAACCTGAGCTTAGAAAGCTTGTTATTTACATCAGAGATAATGTCTGAAGCTGCAAGTACAAAAGAGAGCTTTGCGTAGTTTAGTGGATACATGCACTTCCAACACCAGTTTAGTGAACCAGTTGTTTTCTTTCTATTCCTTCAACTAATGAATGTGTGGGTTGATGGTGCACAGATGGGTTTCTTTGATAAAAGATCTACAGAATGCTAAAACGAAACATTTAAATTGGACAACACGGATTGGATTAAGACAGACAGTTGTGCGTTTGGGTCTGCAAATGTAGGAGATTTATGGAGGAAATGTTTGGTCATGAGAGTGGTGGCAGAGAACGAGTGCTGACTGCGCTGCACTTTGCCCTGGATGGTGATGGAGGCGGCCGGGTGAGATGAGGAGAGGAGGGAGATGAGCGAATGGGCCTGCTCTGGTAGTCTCTCCACCTGGGAGACCGTCCTGAGTTTGGAGCTGCACCTCGAGGGCTGCGGAGCTGAGTTGGGGAAGAGAAAGGGTGACAAACGGGAGAGGAATAACACCCAGGTGCTGAGTGACGGCTGGGTGAAGGGTGGCCACCAGATGAGGAGTGGTGAGGGTTAGGTGACCTGGGTGCTTTGGGGGATTTAGGGAGGGGATGAGAGATGGAGGAGTTGGAGGGAGCTCCTTGGCTATGACAGCTGGAGTCTGCATTGTTGGCAACTTTGTAGAGGAAGACATCATATTGAAGGGGTGAGCTGACATCTGAGTGGAGCTTGGCCTCTTTGGGTAGGAGCACTTCCAGGCCAATGGTGACTCCATCCTGATGTTGCAGTATGGTTAAGACAGATGGATGCAACAATAGGGAGAGTCACAAAATATAAATGATGAAAAAAGTAAAAAACAGAAAAACAAAAAACAAAGGGTGGACTGATCACTTGAGCACATTTCCTTTACACATGACTGAAGGTGCAGAATTTGCTGTAGATGTATGGCTTAATATGAGTGTATCAGTAATCATATTTGGAGGAAATGAATCACAATTCACATTAAGGTATATATCTCACCACTAGACAAATTTCTACAAGCATAATAATAATTTGGATGAATATCGTTTGCTGGAGTAAAAGTGCAGGGATGAATCTAAGGGAAAAGCTAAGCGGCCTTTCTGAAAACTAGGACTGTAAACTAAACAGAGATTCTACAATTGCTCCCATGCAAACAATCAGATTTAAGTGAAATCAGACTAATCTTTGTTTGGTTTCGAACCAAATGGTTCATTTTAAAATGGACTTCTCTAAACCATAAAATGGACGTGGAGCTAAATAAAAAAAAGCATTTAATTAATATGTGACAGTGTGGGCTCCTATCACTATGCCTCTGACTGATTATACGCCTTGGCTACTTGTCCAAGGGGATATCCCTTTGGCTGACTTTCAGGATGCATGACTTTGTCTTGACGATTGAATCCAAGTATTTAAATAACAACATTTATTAGCATAAAGTTGTAATGTTCTCAATTTATTATTCCCTTCATTTCTCCTATTTCTCCAGTTTGGACATATAAATGAATATATTTTGAGCTATGAATCTGATTGAAATTCTAAGGAAAGATAATTAAATATGAAAAGATAGTAGACACCATTTACAAATAGTCATTTTCCTTTATTTATAACATCATAAATGTCTCAGGTACACCGCTAGGGGGCTGTGTAGAGCTCTTTAAACCAAGGAGAAAAAATAAACCTTAACCTGGAAAAAACACATCACTTAAATTATGGATATTATCATGGTTCCAAGAAGGAAAACATATGACTATTTAAAATGTGTAAATTATTTCATTTTTAGTTTATGAGTTAAATTAACTAAGATAGCTTTCTAGGCTGCCAACCAATGACATTGAAATCCCTATTTCTAACAGCGGATGGGCTAATGTGGAATTAAATTATTGAAATAAGGTAGCGATGATGCTCCTGAAAGTAAATCTTTTTGCCTACATTTTTTTTTAAAGATTAGTTTTTACCCAAGCAGAATTTTAGAGGTTAAGTTCAGATCCAGTCAGACCACTGGACCTTCTCATCCTTTAAAGGGACAGTTTTGGTCTAAAAGTTCCAAGCTCTTTCTTAATCAGTATTCAGGGAAAGAAGAGAAGGAAACATATCCTATGTAAAATTTGCTAACACAAGCACACACAGTTCTGCTCAAATGTTTACATATCCTCATCATGGGCATGAATGTTATTTAAGAGAGCTGTATGTGTAATAATCATTCATTTTTATAGTAAGGTTATTCATCAAACAGCTTCAATAAACATAGAAAGTAGCTATTTAATTCCAAACTGTGCATTTATTGCATTAATAAACTGCAGCTGAACTCTGTTGTTTTTTTTTTGTAGCCATAAAAAGGCTTCTGACAGAATTTCTGCTGAATGTTTCAAGGCCAGGAAAGATTCAGAACCTGAAAATGTCTTCCCTGGTTTTTACCATGAAAAAGGAATATTTAATTAGAAGGTGTAGATCATTTGCCTTGTTTTAAGAGTCATTTTCTTATTTCAAGTCTCTAACTTTACACCATAATCATAAATCAAGAAATTATCAGAAGAAATTCTGCATTGAATTGGTCTTTTTCGCATATAGAAATATTATTAAGTGCTTACCCCCTCTCATGTACTGTTTTTATCTTGTTTTTAGACATCTTTTTTATTTTCTTGTAATTGCCTTGGGACCTTACCTGTGTGGTCATGGTATCCTTTAAGCACCTACTGCTGCAGCATAAGAAGAACACATGTCCCCCTGCTGGACCCCATACAGCTTGCTTTCTAGGAAAACAGCTCTTCAGATGATGCATTCAACCAGGGACTATATTCTTACTGCACCACTTGAGCGACTCATATTTGTGACTTGCAGCTTGGCCTTCAACACCATCCACCCAGATATTCTCCATTAAGAACTCACTCAGCACTCTTTGAAGGCACTACCAACCAACAACCCCCCAAAAAAAATAATTTGGAATTGACTTGCTTTTTTGTAATCCAGAACATTACCAAGTCTGCACTTAGACAGGAGGTGAATCAGTTGGTCCACAGGCACAGTCGACACTGCCTCCCTCAATCGCTGCCTCTCCTGTGTTGATTGTCGATCACTTATTGTTCCAATAACCAATTTCTCTCTAGGTACTTGAGGAACTCCTCACGAAGATGTAGGCACAGCAGACGCTAAACTTTGTGCTGCAACTCAAGAATTGCAACCTTTCACATGATCTACCAATCATCTTCTACACTGTCTTCATTCAGTCTTGTTTGAGCACATCATTTATTGGTTATTATGTAGTGATAATTAGATGAGAAGAGGCTAACCTCTAGGCTGGACCTCTTTTCATCTATAACTTGTACTTGTCTAGGGCCAGGAAAATGGGCGGATGTAATCTCTGCTCTGCCGTAGCCTCGGAGCTTCCTGAGCTGCAATAATCAATTTCCTTATATCTGAGAGTTGCACTTTGGGTCAGACAGTTGATGATTTTACACTTTAGGGCGTCTGAATTGAGCAGAAATCCCAAACAATATTGAAACTAAACTAAAAAGCATGGAACAGTTTCATAAAGCTTTTAATATTACCTCTATTCAAAATGTGATAGCTACACCAATCCGGCTAGTAGTTGGATTTTCCACAAATAATTAATCTGTACCTTAATATTTAAAGAAGATCCATTAGGAAGAATCATTAAGACAGCAACAACAACAATGAGAATTACAGTATATTTTTAGACTGTATGTATAATTTTCACTCTCTCTGGATAGACTAAATCTTGTGCCCCCAACTTATTATCGAAAATCATTAAAGCTGTTTGATTTATGATCATTAGACCCTAGAAAAGTAATTACGCCCATGATGAATGCATGCAAACTGCTGGTTGGTAGTCTATGTTTAATTTACAGAATACAAAACAAGAGGTGAAAGGTTTCTATGAGAGTTTCTAATCAGGTCACTTTGTAGGAGCTGTCCATGGTTCTGAATGGGTTCACACTCAATATTCTTTTTCTGCTGTGTAATCTGAGGGGAGCAGCCTACTGTAACATAAAAGCAGGGTCAGCCATGCATTTAGTTATCGTTTGGTACGGCAGTGTTAAGCTTCATTGTGTGCAGACATGCAGAAAAAGAAAAGGGAGAAAAGAGCTGGAGAGAGAGAGAGAGCGTCTACCGGGAAAGCAGGGCTCATAGCAAAACACAGGGACAAGCTGGATAAAATGAAAAAGATTTATTCCAACAACTGTGAACTGGAACCCTCCATGAATAGCCAATGAAGTAAAAAAGAATATCAAGTACATTAAAGATAGCAAAACACATTGAAAACCAAGACACAGCGTGTGTAATATGCATATAGATTCAAATATCAACTCCAAGCAGTTACTTTATCCTCATGTAATCTAGACATATCCACTTATTTTAGCAATGTCAAACATTAACGGTTTGCAAATACATATCCACTTTATTTCCACATATTTTCTTTTTTTTTTTTTCAAATTATATGTTTTTCAGACACTTTTTCGCCGATAACACCAATGCATGCGGGCAGAGAGACACAGTTAGGTAGGGAAAGGCAGAGGGGGAAAGGAGAATAAGGGAAGCTTGGGAAACAGGAGAAAAGACAATGCAGAAGTACATTGGCCGAAAGACCAAGGCAGAGCATCAGTAGAGAGAACAGTCAGTCAGTAGTTGGTCCGAGCCAGAGATTTTAGTCCAGCATTAAAGGCAGAAAGATGGAGGAGAAGAGGCAGCGGCGCCACTATGTGATCGATATAAGTATGGCGGCCTCGTAAACAGATCTATTGTGCTTCTCACGTTGGAACTATAAATATGTGTTGTGCTCATTTTTAACTTTAGATCTTATAAGTTCCATTTAAAAAATCTTCTCTAGCAAGATGTAAACTTTTTTTTTCCTCTGTGTGCACCATAAAATATTTTTTTCTCTAATTCATTAGCTGCAGACTTAATCATGTGCTGATGTTACACCAGGTTGTTCTGGAGCATGTTTACCTCTGCATTTTCCTCCGTGCTGTTTGGGGTGTGGCCATGGATGGCAGAGGCAGGGCGGTTGTTCTCATGCTTTGGGGAGTGGGAGTTGAGGATGTTCATAGACCCCTCCTCCTTGGGCTGAGGGGACTTGGCTTGGTTCTCTTTCTTCTGTGGCTCGTCCTGTAGAGAGTGTCAGTTTCTCTTTATACATGCATAACAGGTGACAAATAAGTGACGTCAAATCCAAAAGACAAATTTGCTCTATGTTAACACAAAAAAGGGGGAACAAGATGCACAACCCACTCACCAAGACCAAACAGGACAATTTCATGGTAGGAATTGTTTGATGTTTTTACTTTGTAGAAATAATTTAAAGGTATTAACAAAATGCAAAGAGTGGCAGTTCCCAAACTAAACAAAAAGCAAAATTAGAAAGTAAAACAAGAAATCAGGTTGTATCAACGGGTTGATAGTTGAGCCCCGAAATCAAGCTCATAGAACACATTTAGCTTTTTAATGTCTCCAAATTCCTCTGAACATTAGAATCAGTGTTAAAGTTGCTTCATCCTTCTTTAAAATTATCAATATTCTTATTTCCACCTGTTTTACCAGTTTTTATTTTATTCCAAAGGTCTTCAACACCCTGGATTTCTGGATAGGGTTTTCAGTTAGTAGCTTAATGAAAAGATAAAACTCACAGTAAGCATCCTTTTATTAATGGCTCACATTTTTCGAAAATTAACCGGAGGAATTTAGGGCAGCTAAGAGTGATGATATTTCGAGAACAAACAACAATAAAGGTTTTGTATTAAATAATATGGATTGTAGTTGAATATTATAAGGCCCATTTGATTTTTCCCACACAGTTTATCTCTTTTACTGTCTTGATAATACCTTTTATTTATCGGTTTTCTGTGCTCTGAAAAACACAATGTGTTTTTAACTAACAAACACTTGGTTTAATTAGGCCAAAGCTTCAATACTGTTCTCAAAGCTAAATTTGTATGCTTGAAAGCCAAATAACTGACCATATGTAGTGAATGTTGCATTTAAGACTAGTACAATCGCAATCTGGGCCCCAGCAATGAAAAGGGAATCGCAGAGTGTGTCAACCGTCAGCTCCAGAACAGTATATCAAACTTTATAATTTTTCAGTTTCAGAGGGAGTTATTAGAGTTAGCTTTCCAGTCCACATATTATCTGCATGTTGAAAAAAAGCCTAGATCAAAAGTTTCAAGCATTAAGATCTGCAGCAAGGTAAAACTGGTTCTCAATAGATCAACCCTTTTACTAAGTCAATTCATTTCGAAATAAAATGAAACCTGGAAAAAGTGTTAAATGGATAAAAAAGGCTTGAAGAGTCACATTGTGAAGAGTGATCTAACCATTAGGTTTCTAAAGACCTTGTACTACTGATCTTCAGCCCATTAGTGACTGGGTCCCAGGGGCACCAGTCTCAAATGAGATTATACTTTACCCTCCCCAGATAACTCTCCCAGCTCTGCTTGGGGAAGTCAGAGGCGCTCCCAAGGCAACTGAGTAACATAGTTGCTTCAGTGTTACAAGTACAGAGCAACGAAATTAACTCTCTGCATTTAACACATCCCCTTGGGGGGTAGTGGCCTGCCATTGTGCGGTGCCTGGGGAGCTGTGTGGGGTTAAGGGTCTTACTCAGGGACCCAGAGTGGCTGTCTGTGGGAGCGGGTCTTGAACTCAGTTTCACCGCTGGATTCCAAGCGGATTGCCCTAATCACTCGTCCAGGGGTCATCCAATAAAGATTTCAGAGCCACTCTAGCTAACTCCTCTCGGTGTGGAGGAGAAACGCTCTATCCAGAGATAGATCCAGAGGCTGAGCTCCTCCCTAATGGAGTGCCCAGTTCATTTCAGCCATTGTATCATGGACCTCGTTCTTCTGGTAATGATCCAGATTCCATGACCATAGGTGAGGGTAGGAGCAAAGACCGACCGGTAAATCTAGAGCTTTGCCTTTTTGATCAGCTCTCTGTTATAGACTGATGCAGCTCCTGCATTATAACAGCAGCCACATTGATCTGTCTAACGATGTCCCATTCCATTCTCCACGCAAAATACTCCTCCACTTGAGGCAGAAACTCTCTTAAGACCTTAGTAACCTTATTTTAGTAAAACATTTCGAGAGCATTGGCAACACAGAATTTTAACTTAACTTCTACAGGTTTCATTGAGAACTGTAAGTGAAAATATGATCATTCCACCATAAACCAACTTCAACCAGGTGTATTTACTTGATTTTCTACAAATGTGTTTTCTGAGGTCAAGGAGAAACATTTGAAGACCTCAGAATTTATGGAAAGTGTTTATGATTCAATGATAACAATAAGTAACACACTCCAGCATCATGGCCTGTATGCATGGTCAGCATGAGTAACTCAATTGCTGAATAACAATTAAAACATGTTAAGCCCATTTAAAGTGTGCTGAACACCATTTAAACAATCCTGTAAAATACTGGATGAATATAGTCAAATGAGACAAAAAGGCTAATTTTTGGATGGCATAATAACATAAAAAAAAGCTTTGGAGGTCTGAATGTGAGCATTTTATCTCAGAAACATCCTATCAGAGCGAAATGTTGCTCTTCAGAAGACTTCCTATAATACAAGAAAAGATGAATGGAAAATGTACAAAAGTATGTAAGAGGTTTCCTACCCTTTAGCAGCAAAAGTAAGATGAAACATGCATAGACGTTGAATTTTTATAGGATTTTTAGAGAAATCAAATGAGACTGTCAGAATGGCCAATCAACTGTTCTGTTCTGTTTAGATATGTTTATATAAATTATCAATGTGTCGGATGGCCTTACTTTGTACTACTTAAGGAACTTAATTAAACAATTAAATCTGCTCCATGGCAAAAAAAGTTTGACCAGAATTTAGTTTATAACCTACAGTTGAGCTTGGGTTATCCACCTGAACAATAACACAAAGCACAATAGAAAGTCCAATGGCTCAAAAGTAACCACATATATTGAGAGTAGTCAAAGTTTAGTTTTACATCTTATTAAGATACTACAGTGTGAGCTAACAAGCTCTTAATGTTGGCAATGGGGCAAAATTAAATCTTTTTGCAAAGAAAAGTGGGTGAAAACTCCAAAACGATGGTAAAGACTCGTGGCCAGTTATAGCAAATGGTTAATAGCAGCCAATGCCTTTAAAAGCTGCGATAAAAAATTTTATACTGTTTTTTTTTTTCAACAACACTGAGTAAACCTTATCCTCATTTAAACACAGTTTTTGGTACTAAGGTTATTGCTGTCTGATAACACATTTTGCTTGTTGATCTCAAACACAAATGCTTTTGTATGCATAAAAGGCTTTAATGCAGAGTGTAAGATTGAAAAAAAGACACTGGCTGAAAAACCTAAGTACTCTTTTATCTAATGCCCCTGGTTTACAAAAAATATCTGTTAGTTTTATGACATTTCTGAGAATGAACTCCAGACTATGTGCTTGCTGTGGCTTTTTAGCCTTTAGCCCTGACATTTAGAGAATCCGGCAGTCACAGAAACTCATCTATAATCGCTGTGGGGGAAATGTTAACAGAGCTGAAAGCATGGACTATATTTGAAAAAAAAAAATGTCCCGGTTATTCTTTTAGTTTTTATCATCCAGGTGCCGTATTGTTCAATCAGCAAGTGCTTGATTTCAACATCATCGTTAAAGAGACATTTTAATCAACCAAAAAGACCTATCTGTGTTGTTTAGCTGTTTGCACAGTTGTTTATGTGTCTTTGTATAAAAGTTCCAGCAGGTCATTTATTGGTGTGGCATGAACATCTGAAGGTCATCAGCACAGCAGGCAGTAAACAGGGCACCATTGATCGGTCACGCTTAGCTGCTGCTGGACACAACTCGTTAAGTGCACTTTAACACGACAGACGAAAGGTTTTAAAGCTTTAAAAGCAACATTTCAGCTTTAGTTCTCACAAACAAATGGTCTTTGTTGGTATCAGTAGACTAGATAATCTGTCTTAACAGAATCCAGTTGCATAGTTTTGCTGGAGCAACTTACATTTATGCAAATAAATCAGACAATAATCACACCCCCCACTCCCCACTGGGACAGTAATGAATGCACTGTAATTTGCACTAATTAATATGCTGCTACAGTTTGGTTTATAATGCCATTGCAGCCCCAAATCTGATATAGAAAAGAATGAAAACAAAAGAGCTACACAGGGAGCTAAAATGGCTGCATGCTCTGTGTGAGGGAAATGGAGGCTTTCTTGCCTCGCCGAGCACCTCGGGAAGCTGCAGGGACGCGGGTGAGAAAAGGAACAAATGAGGCAGCCTAGTGTTTAATCACACTGCAGAGGCTACTGCATAACACATCTGAAAAAATGGCTGCCTCCTGAGAGGTCATCTGTCATTTCACCTACGGCGTGCATGAATCTGATTCATAAGGGGAATGTTGGGCATAAGGTTTACAGCAAATTTGACAGCTACAGTGGGTGGGATTAATGCAAAGATGGTAGTCAAGAGGAGGCAAAGCAGACATCTCCACTGTTCTTACCTGGAAGTGGTTATAAGGTTTTCTGTGCCTATACTCCCAGGGATTGCTGGCTGAAGATGGCCTCTGAGGGGTGGTTGGCGGGTATAAAAACGGTAAAACACAGGCATATTGTACAAACTTATCTCCATGGGAACATCCTAAGGAAGTCTTTTGATTTAAATGATAATTTAGGGTAAAATCAGACAGATGGCAAACATGCACACACACGCACACACACAACAGCTGAACAACACAGATCCATAAAATACTGCAAATCACAGTTTAAGCAGGCCGGGAGGCTTGGGAGAGAACATGATGAGGAGTTAGTGAGAAGTAACAGACTGAAAATACTAAAAACACAGGAACAGGAGCAAACAGGAGGAAAGTGGAGGCATACCTGACAGATAATGTTGTCATAGTACGCCAGGTTTTGAGTATGGGCTTGGGTGGCAGGCGGAGGGGTGTCACACAGTTTTCTTACATTTGGCTGTGAGCCGTCAGCTGTTGTCGAAACTGAGAGGCCATCCGTCTGCGGCTCGCTGCTCCGGGGGTGATACTTACTGCAAAGTGGGATACATGTGTGATATAAATATTTATCGAAGTGTCTTTGTTTTATTATTCTATATTTGGTACTAAGCGAGTCACTGAAAATCGAATAACTCTGGTCAATCCAAAGGGAATCTGATCCCATTTACCTACGCTTCCGAAGGCGCATGTTCTCGTTTTTGAGACGGTACATGCTCTTGGCGAAGAACACAACAATCATGAAGAGCAGGAGGAAGACAAAACAGGCCACTGCCACCACCACACATAGCACCTGGAACTCAGTGATGGCCCATTCACAGCGGAGGCCTTTGTTCCAGATGTAGTCCTGCACATTACACCTGGACACAAAGTGATGGAGAGAAGAACCTTTATCATATAGTGCTAGATTAGCTTTTTGAATGCTATTACCACTTTGACCCTCTTGATAATGACACTTGCTGTTAGAATTAGTATCAAGAGGCTCATTCTGTGAGCTCATTGCATTGGCAGATTTAAAGCGCTCTGTGGAGGTATTCATACCACACAGACTTCTTGAAATGGTGGTATTATAATTTCAGTATAAACTTCTTTATCAAGTTGTTTATCAAATCTTTAAAACAGTGAATGCCTTTTTCTCACAGTATTAGAGATTCTACAGGCATTTGCTTTATGTTCCGCATTGAACTAATCAAATCCCAACATGTGCAAGTCTATGTATGTATCAGTATTTACATCCATCCATATGTCTGTCAACTTTTTGTCTTCCTTTCATGGTTTTGCTGAAGAAAAGCACCCAAACAAAATCACCATGTTTCATGGTAAGGATGGCATGTTTAGAATGTTGCAATGTTCATTTTATTTTTATTTTTTATTTTTACCACCGATAATGTTCTATGGGTAGGTTATATTTCCTGTGTCTCTTTACTGCAGCTCTTAGTAGCCTTGCTTTGGTTCAGTATTCTTTTCTCTTTTTTTAGAGGTGTTCAAAACATTGGATATTGTATGTATATATTGCAAAACATGAAAATCTAAGTAAGTCATTTTTTTCTTGAAATAACTGCATTTTTTCTTGAATTGAGTAGATAAGTGAGACAATTCGCCAATAGAACAAGAAAATTTACATTTGAAATAAGAAAAAACAATTGAATTGTCTTATTTCAAAATCATAATCTCTAATTACCATATCTTGAGCGTAACAATACCCATTTGATTGGCAGGTCATCTGATTTTCCTTTCTTAAATCAAGGGTAATACACTTAATTTATGAAATGTTAACTCATTTTCAGTTTTTGGCTTGTCTTGTGCCCTTTCCATTTGCTCCACTTGGCCTGGATCTACTCTACCTCTCTGGTTTTCAAACTTTGCCATTACTCTTTTTCAGTACTGGTGTTGACTTTCTTTTTTGTTTTGGCCCTGCTTGCATGCTTCTGGAAGCAAGAGGTTGCACTTGATTTTATTTAGGGTTACCAGAGTAAATGGTGTAGAAACGGATGCATGTAACCTTTTGATTTGACAATTACATAGTATTTTCCATCTGACTAAACCACATAAACTCATTAGAATTTAGGGGAACACTATAAGAAAACTGAAGAACTAATTAAGTGGTATAGATAAGATGTGTAACATTTTCAGACAGGGATTGGCTAGTACATGCATATGTGGAGCAACCTGCTGGAGTCTGTCAAACAAGCAGCCCTGCTCTTAATAAGATCAAAGGATCAACCCACGTGCATGCATACATGCTTGTATTTTCCCTAAACCTGCTCTAACTGTGCAACTGGCTGCTAGCATCTGAGTCATGTGTGTTGTGTGTGAATCTCTGCATGTTTCTCATGTTGCTCAACAGGTAGAATATGATAAACAGCAACAATTTATCTCCAAGCTGTCGGTCAAAATTCCATGTTGGACAGACTGTTGCAAAGAGATGCTTCCGGTCCCCGCTTAGTATCTGCATTTGCAGGTCAGGAGGTAGTGTGCGGGTTTTATTTATTTTTTATTTTATTGTGTTTTCTTCTTATGGCATATTCTTCATGCCTCTATCAGCAAGAGATGTCCATGTGCTATCTTTACCTCAAAAAACAGTGCTAATCCTTTAGGGGACCCTGCTGTGATCTTGACAAACCCGAATGACACATTAAGCCAGCCTTCTGCCATTGTGCATGTGTGTGTTTGTCGGCATGGTGCTGGTAGTGTCCTTAATCTGTCATTTGTTTCAGAGAAAAAAACAGTTGTGCCTCAATACATTTAAAAAAGGGGATCCAAGTACCCCAGACAACACTTTTTGTAATATACTAAACTTGTATGAATTAAATTCTTTACAGTGAATTGAAGCTGAGGTCACATTTTTTTTTTATCTCACCTGCAGAAGGCTCCTACTCCTGCCACCACGGTGCAAACCCCTCCATTGAAGCAAAAGTTTTCTTCAATTTCACACTGAGATACACAGACTCCTGGTCCAGACTGCACAAAGCCCAGCCTGCAGCCATCCGCACCCATGGCCCCACCTACGCCTACTCTCTCATTGTTGTCCGGTCCCTGCATAGGAGGGGCTGGTAAAGATGACCCACCATTGAGGTTTGGCTGTACATTTTCGCGGATCGTTGAAGAGCCTTTTAGGAGTGGATTTTCATCCTCCATGTCAGCTGGAGGTGAAGGAGTTGGTTCAGGTTCTGGGGTGGTATCTACTGCGGAGACGTCGTTGTCAGAAGACAGGTAATCATAATAATCATTTAAGCTCCACTTATTGGGATTTCCACCTTTCTGCTTTTGAGCTTTGGGAGTTTTTGCCAAGTCCAGGTTAACATCCGAGGGAACAACATCTGGTGCCGGACTGTGAAATGCCACAGTGATAACGTCATCAGATAATGGGTTCCCAGGATGGTCTGGCCCTGCTCCTCCAGCTGTTAGCTCCTCCCCATGTTGGTCATCCTCTACAAAATCCAAGTGGTGGCGTTTATGAAAGTGGTGATGCCTGGAGGAACTGGACGGGAGTCGGGCACCAATTCCTGCTCCAATCAGATGCTCTCTCTCTGCTGAGTCTTCGCTGAGAACCATCCTGGTGTCCAGGGCCTCCTTGTGGACAGATGAGTGGTTGTGGTGAGGATGGCGTCTGGCCATTGAATGCCTCCCTGTTAATCAGAAACACTGATAAAACTGATGCTCTTAAAGAACTATAACAACAAACATTTGTATAAGAATTCCCTTTTCTTCTACAAGCGAAACAGAACATTTATTGTGGCTGGTGGTTGCTGAAGCCTGTTATCTTATTAAAAGTCCCCAAGTTGACCCATCTTAAACTCGTTGACAGGGACCCATTGTGTTTTTATGTAAAATCTTGTATCTTAAAGAGTTCATAATACTCTAAGTATCACCTGGCCAAACCTGAAAGCCTCAAACACACATTCCCAGTTAAAATATCCAATAGCAGTAAGCAAACTTGCTGAACACCCATCATTTAAATTTACTAAGTAAACATCTGAAAGTTTCCCTATGCTTACATCTGAGCCTAATATACTAAAGTCACTCAACCATCATTAATAAATAAAATCTTATCTTATTTTCATAAAACAAATTGTTGGATATTTTACAAAAAATCTTAGAAGCAGAAGATATGGGTATGTTAGATTAGGCAAAGTAAGTGAATGAGCAGTGTGGTGAGGTGAGGATTAGAGTAGGATTTAGGGCTGCAGGTAAGAAACCGATTGGTTATAATCATCTACACTACAATCTGAGGAGAGGGGCTTCGACACGGAAGCAAGAAACAGGGGGTGAAAGATATACAAATAAATAATTAAAAACTCCTGGTACTGATATGATATATGCTGGACACATAATTATATCTACGAATTGTAAAATTAAACAAAAACTCTGAAAAAACATTCTCTGCTAGAAAGCAAACATTTACCTAAGCAGAGCTGTGTGCACAGTGAACAATTATGCTGGACAGAAAACATTATAAAGGTTTTTTCACATTGACTCTAGGCAATGTTTCCCTTAAAAAAGACATTCTGTTAAAGAAATTCTTTGTAAAGTGAAGGTAAAAAAAAAAAAGGATTACCAATAACAGATTGGAAAATAAGCTTGAAGTTTAGACTGTATTTGTATTTAGACTTCCTGAGTCAAAACTTATAGAGCAATCCTTGCAGGATTTGTCTCTATATCACATCTGGGTGGATATGTATGTACCAGTTTTGGAGTTAAGTGACATTTATGATAAATAACATGTTTGTTTCCTAATAAGGAAACGATAAACAGTGCTGAAACGTATCCTAATTGTTTTGCCTAGATGGGCAGACACAGAGAAAGCAGCTTTGATTTAGGAAGATGAATAATCTTCTCCCACTAGGCAAGTTTAGTTATTCTGTCACACTTTCCCCAATGATATGTCAACCCTTAGACAACACACAAAATACAGCATTGCTCCCAATTACCAAATCAGTGATATGAAAATGTAGATATGAATGGGTGAGATTTGTTGTGTATAAGTGCAATAGGTAGCTGATATAAAGAAAACTGCTTTTAAAGTGTTTTTTTTTCCTCCCATCAACTGTCTGCTATTCCTTTACAATTTCCTTTAGGCATCCATTTGCAGATACAGCTAAAACTAGCCAAAAGGTTTACTTGATTGCTTCTCTTCCCCTGCCACTCTCAAATCCCTCTGCTCAATAAGAAGTGCCACCTTTCAATACATAGATCCTCATTCAAACCTCAAACAAAAAACCATCAGAACGTGCCTTGAGTCACGAAGACCGGTGGCGGCTGAGAAGCCATGAGATTCACCTCAATTGCACACACTCTCGGAGCGCAGTTGCCATGGTGAGATGTAAAGAGGTGCTGTGTTGAAAGAAGGAGCAGGGCGAGGGAATTGCAGTGGAAACAGAGAATCTAGTGTTATTGCTCCTTCTCTTCCCTGTTTTTCAATCAATTACCCGGCCAGTGAGTAGGTGCTGCATGCCAACTCCATCTTTGGGAAAAGAAGGAATTGGAAGGAATCCTAAGGACTCTACTATTTTTTTCTGTTTATTTTATTTATTTATTTTGTCTTTTTTGTGGAAAGACACATTCTCCAACTTGAACTGACTGTAAGGGATTCAGCTCTCACTTAATCGATAAGGCTGCCAATTTGCTCTTTAAAGACTTATACGAAGCTTCATCCTGTTAGCTGCTGGAGGTCTTTGTAGAGAGATCTAAAGCGTAAAAGAAGAACATGAGATTACAAGATGCTCAAACTGAAGGCCTGACTCTGCTTCTGCAATGTGACATCTGTCTTTGGCAGGCTGTGATTTGTGTCTTTGACTGCCACTCAGCTTGCAACCTCTGGCATATAACTGAGCGAATCACCATGGTAACAAGTTCTACCTGAGGTCACTGTGATTGATTTGGGTGGAGACTTGAAGCAGCCGCACCAGCTAACCTAACGCAATGATGCAAATTAAAAACAACAAATACAAGCAGGACTATTAGACAGACATTTAAAGTTAAGAATGCAATCAACATTTTATTTATAATTTTTGTTCAAGGCATTTTAAGGACACCAATATCTACCCATCATCTTTATTGGGTTTTATGGTGTGTCTAAGCTATAAATACCATTTTGACTTCACCTCCTTCAGTGATGTTCGTGGGGAAAGATAGTGAAAAACTGATCTATTCTGACATATCATGAGCTTTCTATGGCTGCAGGGCAGATGGACTTCACAATATGAATACACTCAGTCTATTCAGTGCACACACAGACACGACACCAACACACAATTGTATGACAGTGCACCCAAGATTCTGGATTAAATCCATGCAAATTTCCATGGAAAACAAGAAAGATCTATGCTATGCATTGATGGATTAATTTGCCTTTTACTTTAGTTAAGTGAAGGAATGATGAATAATCCTGATTTTCAGTTCATCAATTACTTCAGAATAGAATAGAATAGAATAGAATAGAATAGAATAGAATAGAATAGAACAGAATAGAATCAATGCCATTGTAGATGTAAATTCTAGATCTGGGATGTGTTATAAAACTAACCATTTGTAAACAAAAATACACAGGAAACATCTACTCCTTTATGAACAAATTGTAAATGAAGATTGTAAGATTAACAGTTTGTGTACAGAAAACAGTCCCTAAAAAGATTGTACTACAATATGTGTTTCAACAGTCAGTTATTTACGAGTATGGAGCTCTGTGAAAAGAACAGTAGAGATTAACACTTTATTGAGTTTGTTCACATCAGACCTGATGGTTTAGGAGCTCAATGTCTATCTGTGCCTATCATTGCAAATTTACATTTTAATTAAATATGTTTTCTGCATTCCCACAGAAAGCTCTTTTTTGGATTCAAATCAGGGAGCCTACAATCATTTAGATGACAAGACCCACCTTACTACAGTACTCCCAACCAACTGCTGGGAGGTAGTATTTGAGATGTCACTGCTGTATGGTGCACTCTTTATCTGACAAAGGAAACAACCTGTTCAGTATAGTCAGATTTTTGAGTAAGCCACTGCATTGAGATTGTGTTGGTAAAGGTTTTAATACATGAGGAACCCCATACATTGGGTTCCTCATGGCCTTGTTGTTAGGCCTTGAAATAATGCAATATCACTTACCATATGCCTACTTATGCTGATGACACTGTTTTAAATTCTATTAAACAACTTTGCAAACTTTGTTTTAGTCATGGTTTTAATTTAAACGATGGAATGGGTCGGATTTTCACCGTCTTAATACAAAGAAGGCAGAAGTTGCTGTTTCTCCTCCCAAATGATAGACAACTAGATTCAATTATGGTTTAATTAACTTAAACCGCAGAAGCTTTTATTGCTCATTAAATGAATTCATTGACTTTACTCCAACAAAAAATTATTACTCCATTCACATTGTGTTTTTCACACAAGATCATTAGTAGTGCACCACCTCAAACTATTTTTTTGTAAGTTACTCTTGGATTCTTGTCTGTTTCAAAGATCATAAAATATTCTTTACATAAAATTCCATTGCATTTTATTTTTAATGGAGTCTTTGTTGAAACATTAGAAGTCCACAATAGTCTGTGAAACACTGAGAAAAGCAGCTATTTCCAGCACCAACTAAATCTTACTTAATAAAATTATTTATTTTTATTTTCAAGGTCATGTATGGACTTGAATTAATCCTAACAAACAGTTGTTGCTCTTAGTAGATCAAATTTAATAACAATAAATTCATACAAATTACAACATGGTAGAACACAACATTGCTTTACAAGTATGGGAAAGAATACTGTACTGTACCAGCACACAATATTATTGCTGTTCCCCTTAATATGCCTGGTTTATTCTATCAAATGGTGTCTGTGTATTCGTGTTTGGCATTTGAGCCAGGATACACATTCTCGTCTTGCTATATCTAGTATAGACCATATGTTAACTCCCATTGACTTCCATTGCTCTTAAGTCATTTTCAACTACTTCTATGCCCTATCCCTGACAATGACCCAATACGTATAGCACAATGAGATTAAAAGCTTCCAATGTCAGAGTAAAATGTCCTCAATTTACAAAAACCAGACTTTGCTTGTAAAATAAGAAAAATTGTACTTGTACTCGCTGCAAAGTGAAGACATCTTTGGAGCAATATACTAGTAAAAGTGAGGACTTTTTACTGGTCCTCATTGTGTTGGCTTAGGTTTAGGACTAAGGCGTAACTTAGGTTTCAGTTAATGTTAGAAGGATGTATGTACAAGTAATTGTTAGGTTATGGTATTGTTGGGCTGTGGAAAGAAAAAAAGGGTAGAAAACAAATGGAAGCACACACACACACACACACACACACACATATATATATATATATATATATATATATATATGCTTAAAACTTAAATGAATGGTCAGTCTCAGATGGCGCACCTGCATGTACTGCTTCTAATTAATCACATACCCCTCGCCACCTGGTCGCAGTGGCTTGGATAAATAGAGGGAGGACGCCAGACATGTGTGCCTATTTGCCGGTCAATATGTCAGAGCATTAACGCCTGGTTACACATCGAGGCCGAGGGAGGCGCAGAGTACGGGGTTCATGCGCGCTCCCGCATGAACCCCAGCGACCCCACGCACGCACGGGCATGTGCCACCCTGTTGCTGGGCAGCGACGGCGCACATTATTATTGACGTTTTTTTTATTCCAATTTCCACTACTCTGCTGAGATTGTTCTTATTTAGTCGGAGGAATAACCAAAAGGCCAAATTTAGATGAGACAGAGTGAAGATTCTGATACCCCCCCCCCCCTTCAGTCTGGAGGAATTCAGTTTTTTGCGGCACAATGGGCTTCATGTAACCCGACTACAGTGGACCTAATCCCCCCTTTATGGAGACGCACCGCAGCGAATCCTATCATCAGCAGACAAAACTAAACCATATAAATATGTCCTATACAGCTACACCTTTAATACCATCATCTGTAATTAGGCCCAATGAGCGTCAAAGATGATATATTCGCTGTCACTGATTAGATTTTAAATACCAACAATAATGTTACACATGAGTTAACAAAAATGATTTATCTATTCATGGTTAAAAAATATCTTTCAAAACTATATATAAAAAAGATCTTTCTGCTGATCACCTGCATCCTGCGCCTAATTGATCACCTCCCTTTTTGCCACCTATATCAAACTGCAAGAATATAATCACACTGTTATAAGGTTTACTGGCAAATCAATGTAAGGCCTATTCCATTAATTAGGAATACATATTCTCCTTTCTAATTACCACGCTTTCTTAACCCCTCGCCCAAGTGCAGGTGTGATTTTTTTTCCACACACGTGCGCGTTACTTTGCACAAATGTCCAAACTATGGTACCACGCACACGCGCAGGGTGGGTCTCCGGTGAAGCGGCGATCTTACCGTTATGTGCACACAGAGGGATGATGAGCATGGAGATTGTCAGCAGCACCTGCCAGCTCCCCATACGGTTGTCTCCACGAGCCATGGTTTTGGGTTATGGCTATTTCTTTTGCACGTTGAAAAAAAAAAAATCTAATTTGATGCTCCTTGCCGGTCAGATGCTCCAATAATCCAGATCACGGCGGATCCCCTTAAAGTTCAGATCTGCTCCGCTATGCTCATGCCGTTATCTGTGTGTATTTGTCAGTGCAGAGACGGTCCCATTGTCCCCAAACGGCTGGCCTGTTCCTCTCGCACCTTTTTTTACGCGCGTTTCTTGGTCTGCGCCCTCGACAGCAGAAGCAAAAGCGCCTCGGGGAGTCCTATAGGTTGTAGCGTAATCACGCGCGCGACCACAGACGAAATTGAAATGACACTGGTCTGTAGTGCTTGCCGGTCTGCCTGTCTGAGGAACAGCGCGCACACACAATGCGTTTGGATGTCAAAATGCCAAAGCGCGCGCACTCTCTCTACACACACACGTTAAATGCTCCTCTGAGTCCAGCCTCAGCATATGCATGTTAGTGTGGAATAGGACTGAATGAAGTATTTACACAGCGTCTATTGTCAGTTTCACGTCATTATGCTCCATTTTCCACCTCAGCTCGGATGCATGATGTGTGCTCTCCACTTTGGGTGGCGTTTTGTGTGTCAGTGGGTTATTGGGTGCATGCTTTCTGCCTGCAGAAAGATGCATATGCCGCGCATGCCTGGATAATCCTCTTAATGTGATATTAAGATAGACTGAAGTCAATGGCATCTGCTGTTATAACACTTAGGGCTTGAATTGAAGCTGAATTTGTCACAATAGAAAACTCCCTGGACAGCAGGGATTTAGACACTTTGACCAGAACACTAATCAATGGTGGTTGTTGGGGGATATGTCGGTCATTCCATGGTGGTGATGGCAAAGGGGACAAAGATGAATAAAAACATTAATTTGTCAGTTACACCCAAATTAATTAGTATTGTGTATGTGCATGTGCAGTCATGGGTAACCGCCTCTGGCATGCACTGTAAGTATAACAATAAGTGCATTGCTGCACACAATGGGAATAATATGTCTGTTTTCATCACTTATGATTTTATTGTTACATAAGAGTTAACTCAGGGAGTTTAAAGTTAAGATAGCATAGCTAGTGAGCTACAACATTTTAGTCAATTTAATTATAAAGAAAGATACAACAAAATTTGCTTTGGGAGTTTCTTTGCAGTATAGTGAGTGGGTGCGTGTTGAATATGTGTGGGGAAGCAGATTTTGATTGTAAGTATTATGAGATGCTCAACACAATGTTTGACTGCTTGCATCTGAGCTTCAGTGATATTTCTTAGACATTGTGAGAGTTTTTTTTATAACTTGCAATGCCCTTTAAAAAAAACTTACTTTGTAAATAGTTTAAGTGAATCATCAAATGTCATTGGAGTTTGCATTTGTGGTGAGAAAAAAGTATTCGACTATTCATCCTAGTTAAATAAACGGAGATCGATGGATTTCACTCAGTCGGCACATTTATTAAAATCTTTGCAAAGAGAGAACAGTCATCATGGCACAGCATTCTGCTCTGTTCTGATCTGGGCAGGGTTCGTTCCCCCCTAGTTACAACAATGGAAAAGCAGTCAGAGTCATAAGAAATTACACACACTTNCAAAGAGAGAACAGTCATCATGGCACAGCATTCTGCTCTGTTCTGATCTGGGCAGGGGTTGTTCCCCCCCCGTTACAACAATCGAAAGCAGTCAGAGTCATAACAAATTACACACACTTTGCTTAACAGTAACATGTTATGATTAAACCTTGAGAAAGAATCTGGATTGTTATGGGAAGAAGCTATGTCTGGTCTACAAACAACATTCTGCAGGGAATGGTGTGGCCTTGAGAGAGAAACAGACTGAGTGAAAACTTTTATAGTGAGTAAATATGAATATTAATATATAAGAGAGAAAGATATAAATTTTCCCACAACAAGGTATATCTATAGGCACTGTTGATTCACTCTTTACCACATTTTAACAAACAGAATGAACAAAAGAAGAACAAAAAAACTTTTTAAACAAAAGCAACTTCAGGTTTTAAAAGGAGAAAGGCAAGGTTAAAAATTATCTATATTTGGATGAACAAAAAGAACTTCAGCTGACAGCTCTAGAAATGCAAGATCTATTGGATCAGGTCCGGTGATTTCCAGCTATCTTAATCTTTAAAAGTTAATATGAACATGCAGCAGAAAAAAAAACAAAATCAAAAAGTTCACCATCAAACACTAGGTCTTCTGGAAGCTGGAAGGATTTCTTCCAGTTTTGATTGAAACATGTTCAAATGTTTGTTTTTCTCTGCTGATGAGGACAAACAGGTGATAACTTGGACTTGTCTGGCTGGGAACTTTCCATAGTCATCTTTGGAGCTCAGTCTGCTTGTATTGACAGATCCGCTGGGACTGTAAAACAAACTGTGAAGATGATTAATATAGAATATTTTTAAAATCTACATCATTATAACAAGTTCATAGTTTAATATGTTTTATTTAAAGCATGCTAGTGTGAGAAAGTGACCTTCTACTGATTAAACAGAAGGAGGAACAGAGACCTTTCTGCCTCTGCAGTTTCAGACTTCTACCAGCCTTCACCACAAACCCCTCAGTGGTTGGAAACAAAACATCACAGAAGCAGATGTTCAGCAGCTCCACTTTATTCTTCTTCATTCTAATTTTTTTATTTTTTTGTCATATTGCTTTTTAAGATTGATTCTGGTTGTTTTTTACACATTTTATTCTGAGCATCTCTGCTAAAGCTACACTTGAACCCACCTGTTATCAGCTTCTAAACTCAGAGCAGAGATCACATGATCTGAAGATATATGGGGCTTCCCTGCTGTGTGGTTTGGATCAGCATCATTCAGAGAGATTATGTTTCTACACATAATATTGGTTTATTATAACTTATATCCAGACATTCTGGTTTTTGATTTAGTTTAAAATTGATTTGGATTTAATAATTTTCTCATAAACATCCTGAAGCCACTCAGACACCGTAGCAGCGCAGCACAGAAAACAAACAAACATCAGCACTGTAGTGCAAACCGACACATTAGACATCCAAATATATAATGTTAGGTCTGGGGTACTGTTAGGTCTTTGTGTTTCTCCTTAATTTCAGGTTGGCAGGCTTGATGGGTTCCAGCTGTTACTCCTTGATGACAATCAAGGGTGGCCTTTATATTGGAGCAGTTTCAGGAACAATCAGCCTGCCTGTCCACCCTCAATCCAACACAGGACCATCCTCTGGATAAGGATCCAAAACTCAGACTCTCTCTCTCCCTGTTTTTGTCTAAGTTGACTGAGCTCTTCTCCATTTAACCAGGAAATAAACTGTTAAATCTGCCTCTGTGTCCGCAGTTGTCGCTTGCTTAAGAGTCTGGTCTAGCATCATGTCAGAACCAACTGGCCTTTCCGACTCTGCAGCGCAGCTACGGACCGCGCTCTCTGAACAAGGAGTCCTCCTGGGTAAGCACGATCAGACTATTAATATGATGTGCCAACATCTTGAGCAGCTGTCTAGACAGATCCAAGGATTACATGACAAGCTACCCCAGGTTAGTGCTGCTGCTACTTCTGATCCTCTGCCGGTTTCCTCTCCCCTGCCAGTGCACCGTGATGCCATCACGCCCACCCCCGATTATTTCTCAGGAGAGTTGGAGTAATGTAAGGGGTTTTTGCTTCAATGCACCTTGGTTTTTAACCGCTCACCACGTTCATACCCAGATGATGTCAGCAAAATATCCTACATAGTTGGGTTACTAAGAAATAGGGCTCTTAAATGGGCTGAGTCTGTAATTGATCAGAGTACTCTTACAGATTACTCCTACCAAGAGTTTCTTGACCTGTTCAAACAAACTTTCTGCCCCAAGGTCAGTGAAGAGTCTGCCTCAAAGAAGCTCTGGAGCCTGAAACAGGGGAGCAGATCTGTGGCAGACTTTGCTATCGACTTCCGGACCCTTGCAACAGAGTCAGGTTGGAATGAACCAGCCCTTAAGGGTGCCTTTTTACACTCATTAAATGAGAAGCTCAAAGATGAGCTGGCATGCCGTGACGAACCAGATTCTCTAGATGAATTGATAAATCTCGCCATTAGATTGGACCATAGAATTAGAGAGAGGTACCGGCCCTCTAATTCTTGTCCATCCTTAACTGCCAGCAGACAGCCTCCTGCCAGCCCTGAGCCATCTGTTTCCCCCAATCTGAATCAGCCTGAGCCCATGCAATTGGGAAGAGCTAGGCTAAGCTCAGAAGAGCGCCACCGCCACCTGACATCAGGTTGCTGCCTTTATTGTGGATCATCCCAACATTACATCTCCTCCTGCCCAGTTCGCCCAAAAGACTATGCCCGCCAGTTAATCTGGGAGTTCTGGCGCACAGATCCAAGGAGACAAGCAATCTCCACTTAACCCTCCCTGCTGTTCTCTATGTCAAGGGTTGTACTCAGTCCTTCCAAGCATTGGTGGACTCGGGTTCAGAAAAGAACCTTATACACCCCTCGCTAGTTGACCAACTTCAAATACCAGTCAAAACACTACCACTTCCTTTGAGGGTGGCTGCTTTGGATGGCAGTCCTATGGCCCTTATTACTCATCAGACTGATCCAGTCTTCCTCCACGTTTCTGGCAACCATCAGGAACTAATTCAGTGTTTTGTTTCTCCTACTAAGGGAGCTTCCTTGGTTCTTGGGTTTCCCTGGCTCTGTAAGCATAATCCTCACATAAACTGGTCCAAGGCCCGCATTGATTCTTGGAGTTCATACTGTCTTAACCAATGTCTCCAATCTGCAAAAACCACTCCAGCCTCTGTTGTTGGTTTAGCCACCCATAAACCAGACCCTACCAATGTTCCACAGGATTACCATGATCTACAGCTGGTGTTCAGTAAAGATCTAGCACAGTCTCTGCCTCCCCATCGTCCATATGACTGTTGCATTCATCTCCTCCCAGGGGCTCCACTCCCCTCTGGGCATTTGTTTAATCTCTCCAGACCGGAGAGACAGGCAATGTAAAAATACATCTATGACTCCCTTAATGCAGGTATCATTCGCCCCTCCTCATCTCCCTTGGTGCTGGTTTTTTCTTTGTCTCCAAGAAGGACGGCACTCTCCGCCCCTGTAAAGACTACAGAGGGCTCAATCAGATCACAATCAAGAATAAATACTCTCTCCCCCTCTTGTCCTCAGCTTTTGAACCAGTTCACCAAGCCTCCATCTTCTCAAAGCTCGATCTGCGCAACGCTTATCATCTGGTTCGTATCAGAGAGGGGGATGAATGGAAGACCGCATTTAAAACCCATATTGGCCATTTCGAATACCTGGTCATGCCTTTTGGACTCTGCAATGCCCCTGCCACTTTTCAGAACCTGGTGAACGATATCCTTCGTGATTTTCTGAATATTTTTGTTTTTGTTTACATTGATGACATTTTAATCTTCTCCAGTAGCTTGGACGAACATCGGCTACATGTCAGATTGGTTCTCCAAAGACTTTTGGAGAACCGTCTGTTTGTCAAGGCTGAAAAGTGTGTGTTCCATGTCTCATCTA